GAGAACACTTGCACAACTCATCTGTGGTATTTTCGCATGTGGGTTGTGAGGTTACATACAGCAGCAAGAAATTCAATTCTCCGTTATTTTGCCTTCATAGAATCCCTACAGCAGGCCATTCAGCCCATCGAGTCCACACCGACTCTCTGAAGAGCATCCCTCCCAGATCCACCCCTATCCTAACCCTGTAATCCTGCATTTCCCATGGCTAATCCACCCAGCCTGCACATCCCTGGACACTATCAGGCAATTTAGCATGGCTAATCTACCATAACCTGCACATCTTTGGACTGTGGGAAGAAACTGGAGCACCTGTAGGAAACCTACACAGACAGAGGGAGAACGTGCAAACTCCACACAATCAGTTGTGTGAGGGTTGAATCGAACCCAGGCCAACCACTGAGCCACTGCGCCATCCCTTTCCAATGTATCAGCCTTGTTTCAGCGGTGGCTTTCTTGCCTTTGGCTCCAAGAGGTGAATGTTGAAATGTCACCCAAGTGACTTGGACAAATACAAGAGCAAAAACAGAAGTTGCTGGAAAAGCTCAGCAGGCCTGGCAGCATCTGTGAAGAAAAAAATCAGAGTTACTCAGAGTTTAGGGTGGGATGGTGGCTCAGTGGTTAGCACTGCTGCCTCATAGCATGACAGACCCAGGTTCAATTCCACCGTCAGGCAACTGTCTGCGTGGAGTCTGCATGGGTTTCCTCTGGGTGCTCCAGTTTCCTCCCACAGTCCAAAGATGTGCAGGTTAGGTAAATTGCCCATACAGATATGAAGATTAGGGGGATGAGTCTGGATGGGATGCTGTGAGGATCAGTGTGGACTTGTTGGGCCAAAGGGCCTGTTCCCACACTGTAGGGATTCTATGATTTAATGTTTTGGGCACAATGATCTTTCCTGTTCTGAGGAAGGGCCACCAGACCTGAAACGTTAACTCTAATTTTTTTCTTCACAGATGCTGCCAGAACTGCTGAGCTTTACCAGCAACTTTTGTTTTTGTTCTAGATTTACAGCATCTGCAGTTCTTTCGGTTTTTATTTTGACTTGGACAAATAATCTAGCTTGCCACTTCGAGCACAGAACTGAGGAAGTGCTGCAATGGGAGCTGCCATGGTTCCAAAGAGGTCTGGGTGGCATGGTGGCTCAGTGGTTAGCACTGCTGCCGCATAGTGCCAGAGACCTGGGTTTGATTCCAGCCACAGGCAACTGTCTGTGTGAAGCTTGCACATTGTCCACTTGTCTGTGTGGTTTCCTCCCACTGTCCAAAGATGTGTGGGTTAGGTTGATTGGCTAGGGGTGTATAGGCTAGGTGGACTAGCCGTGGGGAATGCAGGGATAGGATAGGATTGGTCTGGGTGGAATGTTCTTTGGAGGATTGATGTGAACTCGATGGGCTGAATGGCCTACTTCCATGCTGTAGGGATTCTATGTCAACCCAAACTGAGGTCTGTCCACTCTCTCTCGTGGACATTAAATGTCCACTGTGCTAGTGGGAGGAAAAACAGGGGTCCTCATCCCAGTGTCCTGGCCTCCATGAAGCTCACAACCAACATCTGGCTGTTAATACATAAAATGGTCAAGTTGCCATCATCCTATCAGCTTCTCACTCATTAGAGAGAGATGACTGGGGTTTTTTTAACCTGAGGGTTACCATCCCTCAGGAGGGGGGAAGAGGATGAGAAGGAGAGTCCTTCTTGGTAAGCTCAGCCAGTTGGGGAAATTGAACCCAGGCTGTTGGCATCACCCTGCATTGCAAGCCAACTGATAGCGGTTTATGGGACTGATCTCTGTGCAAATTGCCAATGATGTTAACTACATCATAACAGTGACCAGTCCACTGCAGCCACCTCATCAGTCAATTTCTGGGTGGGAAGACACAAGAGCCAGCTTTCTGACTTGCCCCTAACAAAGGCTCTCAAGAGTTAATTAATGATCACTTAAGGATCTCAGTGCACCTCCAACTCAATGACTTGCCTTCCCAGTCTGTGGCAGCCTTCTTGAACAGGGAAACCAGGGTGACCTGACTGATGGGCTGTTGGGGATGGGTTGGGGCTTCATTTGCACCAACGTGGCAGAGGACAGATGGCACCAAAGGGGCAGCCATTGAAAACCTACACCCATTCTTTGTCTGCAACACCCCCAAACCCACCTTTACTATGACTCCCAACTGTGATCACCCCAAAGAAAAAACATTTACCTGCCGTGGGTCTCCATGTTTGGACTTCCATTGATGCTCTCCAGGTACCATTGGTTGCTGCTTCTGATTGGTCAATAACTTGATGACGATGGTGAGGCACCTGATAGGCTCAGAAGCCCACCAATCAGCACTTTGGAGCCCCTGCTTGACAACTACCCACTAGTGAGTACAGGTTAATTACTGATGAAGATTTAGATTTTATTGGCACCTTTACAGAAGTACAGTGAAAAGTGTATAATGTCGCCAGAGAGGGTGACCCTCATGGCAAAATCCCCACAATTTGTCCATTGTACACTCAATCCCAGTCCTTGACTCAGTTTCTCTGCACAAGTGCTGCCTGACCTGCTGAGTATTTTCCAGCGCCTTTTGTTTTTGGTTCAGACCTGCAACATTGGCGGTATTTTGCTTTGGTTTAAGAAAAAGCCAAAAGTTGTCTACAAATGATCGGGGACATCCTGAGATCGTGAAAGATGCTATACAAATGCAAACTGTTTCTCTCTGATCTTTCCACTCCAGCTCAAATTAAGTGAAAAGGAATCATTGTTGTCAAAAGCACACTTTATTATTGTTGTGTTAGGTCTATTGTTTTAGGAAAGAGGCTTGCATGACAATTGATTCTGCCTTGTTTATCTGAATATGCCGGGGCGAGAGGATGTTATAGGGAGCCTCCAAGCCCCTGCAGGTTTGTTCACTCTGGTTATTGATATTCCTCATTTACTTTATTATTAACAACCCACCACCACATGCTGCATTCCTGTACGAAGACCACTGATTGCTTTTTATATTGCCACCCTCACCTTCCACATATGGCGAATTGAAAAGTCAACATTTTTACTCGTTCGCTGATCCCAGAATTGTTAGGACGCAGGAGGAGATTTGGTCCAAATTGCCTGTACCAGCTCTTCAAACGAGCATCATTACCTAGTGCCAGTCTTGTGCCTTTTCCCCACACCCTTGTGCACCATTTCTACAAATAATCATCCAATGCTTTCTTAAATGCCTAATGGAACCTGCCTCCACCACATTTCCAGGCAGTGCACTTTACACTCTAATTAGGATGTGGTGCAGTGGTAGCATCCTGACCTCTCAGCAAGTAAACTCTAGGTTCAAATCTCTCCTACTCCAGAGGTGTGTAATGACATCTCTGTAGAAAATATCTCTAGGTCCTGATAACTCACTGACTGGTTTAAAAAGTGCTTTTCTCCAGTGCTTCTTTTGCACATCACTTTAAATCCACGCCCTCTCTTTTTGATTGATGTTGGTCAAACTGCTTTTCCCTTCATTGTTCACACTATTTTAACAACTAACAAAAGTGCTTCAAGAAAAGGCAAGGGGGAGAAAAAGACATAGAACATAGAACAGTACAGCACAGTACAGGTTCTTCGTCCCACGATTTTGTGCCGAACTTTTACCCTAAACCTAACGTCTATCTAATCTCCATCCCTACCTTATACTATCATCAACAGTGCCCTCTCCTTCCCCATCTCCTGCCCAGAAGCGGCCTTGAGGCAGTTTCAACCTGTCAAAGTCATTAGGCAGGATGCCTCATCACCACGACTTTCCAACAAATGCCTAGACATCGCTTGGCTGGTGGTGAGAATGGCACTGCCTATGATAACCTTCATGTCAGTCTGGACTCTTTGTGCCACCGCATGCTGCCCTCAAAGTGGGGGTAGAGACCGCCACCCATCTCCTGCTGGAATGTGCCTATACAAAGGGCATCTGGAGAGAGATGCAGGGGTTTTTGTCGGGGTTTGTCCTGAGCAGCTCCGCGACGTAGGACTCTGTGCTCTACGGCCTGTTCCCCAGGACGCACACTGAGACAAACAGCAACTGCGTCTGGAGGACCATCAACTCAGTGAAAGACACTCTTTGGTCTGCCCGAACTTTGTTGGTCTTCTAGAGCAAGGAGTTGACCTTGACAGAGTGTTGCAGACTGACACATTCCAAGGTCCACGACTACAGTCTGAGGGACGCACTAAATCTTGGGGCAGCTGCAGCCAGGACACAGTGGAGAAAGATAACTGTCTGAGGTCTTTCTGCTGAAGTTAAATGGGGGCCCATTCAGTTAGTGGGCCCTCCCAGTGCCTCAAATATATGTAAATATGGTCTTGTATAAGTAAGAAACGCCTTTGGTTTGTTTGCAGGATAGAGTCAAACTCCAATGTTTGTTTGCTTTTTAATAACAGAAGTGAACTGTTTTAGCAGATGGGCACATGAATAGGAAGGGTTTAGGGGGATATAGGCCAAATGCTGGCAAATGGGACCAGATTAATTTAGGATATGGGGTTGGCATAGACGAGTTGGACCGAAGGGTCTATTTCTGTGCTGTACAATTTTATGACTCTATGACAATGCATGTATATAAAGATATTTTTATGAATAAAGTATATTTTTGAAAATTAAAAAAAAAGTCATTTCTGGAAGATACCAGGGGCGATCCGGGAGAGGGAGGTCAAACAGAAGTAAATAAATAGTGTTGGGACCATACAGGATTTTAATGATTCACACCAAGTGTCAACGTTAAACGGTGAAGCGCGAATGTGGGTACAAAAGAGAAGGGATTTTATTTCCAGCGTAGACATGAATGCAGAACTGTTTGAGTCAGAATGCAACCTCGTTAATCTCAGAAGGAGATTTCAAAGCAGACCAAACTGTAACTCTCCACAAAGGCTCTGTCCTATCTCCTCGTTATTAATGGAAAAGATAACAGAGCGAATAACTCCTAACTTGAGTTCCTCTGACCTGGAACAGCTACACAAGAAACACTTCCTGAAACAGTGGCCCTGTAGCCTTTTAACAGTTTGCTGGGTCCGATGAACGTGGTTGAGTGAAACGTGAATGCACCCAATTGTAGAACATTTTACAAGGTAAACACCTGTCTAGACTTTTTTTTTCACACATCAATCCTTAAGCAATTGCTCGGGCATTTAACGCTAAATGCATTCTAATTCACCAAATTTCCATTCGACAAATCAACTAAATGTATACTTCAAATTGTACTTGCAGCGCGCACGTCTGTTGTAATCACCCTTGTCATTTCACAATTTTCCCAAGTGTTCAGTTATCATGATAAGCGAACGAGTTTATGTGCATTAAAAGCAGGTCTAGCTTTAGAAGAGCGAAGGGTTACATTGTTTTGTCAACCAACGCCAGTTGCTTAAATTACTGTACAATCAAGAGCAGTTTTCAAAGAAATTTATATAGCACCTTTCACAACGACAGACGCCTCAATTTTTTTTTAAGAAACTCAGTCTCAGGATGCGGGGGACACTGGATAGGCAGCATTTATTGCCCATCCCTAATTGCCCAGAGGGCACTTAAGACTCAACCACATTGCTGTGGGAATGGAGTCACACGATTTTGTAGTCACTCCTGGAACATGGGCGTCACTGCCTGGCAGTATTCATTGCTGGTCCTTAGTTACTGTTCAGAAGGTGGTGATGAGCTGCCTTCTTGAACCGCTGTAGTCCATGTGCAGGCAGTTGACTCACAATGCCATTAGGGACGGAGTACCAGGATTTTGACAACAGTGACAGTGAAGGAATGGCAACGTATTTCCAAATCAGGATGGTGAGTGGCTTGAAGGGGAACTTGCAGGGGGTGGTGTTCCCATGTACCTGCTGCCCTTGTACTTCTAGATGGAAGTCGTCATCAATTTGGAAGGTGCTGTCTAAGGAATCTTGGTGAATTTCTGCAGTGCATCTTATCGATGCTGCTACTGAGCATTGATGGTGGAGGGAATGGATGTGGTGCCAATCAAGCGGGCTGCCTTGTCCTGGATGGTGTCAAGCTTCTTGAGTGTTGTTGGGGCTGCACTCATCCAGGCAAGTGGGGAGTATTCCATCACACTCCTGACTTGTGCCTTGTAGATGATGGACAGGCTCTGAGGAGTCAGGAGGTGAGGTACTCGCTGCAGTATTCCTAGCCTCTGACCTACTCTTGTAGACACTTTGCTTATGTGGTGAGTCCAATTGAGTTTCTGGTCAATGATAGCCCCCAGGATGTTGTTAGTGGGGGATTCAGTGATGGTAACACCATTGAATGTTAAGGGATGGTGGTTAGATTGTCTCTTATTGGTGATGGTCATAGCGTGGCATTTGTGTGTCATGAATGTCACTTGCCACTTGTCAGCCCAAACCTGGATATTGTTCAGATCTTGTTGCATGTGCACACGGACTGCTTCAGTATCTGAGGAGTCACAAACATTGTGCAATCATCAGTGAACATCCCCACTTCTGACCTTATGATGGAGGGAAGGTCACTGATGAAGCAACTGAAGATGGTTGGGCCGAGGACACTAAGCTGAGGAACTCCTGCAGAGATGTCCTGGAGCTGGGATGACTGACTTCCAACAACCACGACCATCTTCCTATGTGTCAGGTATGACTCCAACCACTGGAGAGTTTGCCCCTGATACCCAGTGATTCCAGTTTTGCTAGGGCTCCTTGATGCTATACTCAGTCGAATGCAGCCTTGATATCAAGGCCTGTCACTCTCACCTCACCTCTGGAATTCAGCTCTTTTGTCCATATTTGAGCCAAGGCTGTAATGAGGTCAGGAGCTGAGTGGCCCTGGCGGAACCCAAACTGGGCGTCACTGGGCAGGTTATTGCTGAGCAGGTGCTGGTTGCTAGTTCTGTTGGTGACAGCTTCCATCACTTTACTGATGATCAGGATTAGACTGATGGGGCAGTAATTGGCCGGGTTGGACAATAAACTCGATGGGGTTTTCAGACAATCGGCAACACTTTCATTGGTCATCATTAATTCTAGATTTCTATTGAATTCAAACTCCTCTACCTGCCATGGCAGGATTTTGAACATGGGTCCCCAGAACATTACCTGGGTCTCTAGATTAATTGTCTAGCACCTCTCAGTACTGCGGTGTGAGTGTGAACAAACAGATTTGAGTAGACTTGTTTTATTCACTAGTGGTATGTGGGAATCGCTGGGCTTGGCCAGAATTTATTGCCCGTTCCTAGTTTCCCTTGCGAAGGTGGTAGTGCGCTGCCTTCTTGAACCACTGCAGTCCATGCAGGCAACTATGCGATGAATCTAGATGGAAATTGGTTAGACACCTCCTTAGCAGTAATGCCTTGATTGATATTTTGATGATTGGATCCTTGAAAGATAAATACCATAACTTATTATAGTGACTGGAGCAAGGTTAGCCAGATAGATTTCATCGAGTATGAGATCCCTGATTGGGGCTGTTAACCTGGGGCCAACCAGGGAGTCCTGGCTGACAGATGTAAACAGGAGTCTCAGGGATTCTCCTCACTGTCGGAATTGGCTCTGAGCTGGTTTGTTAGGATCCATATATTGTGCGCATGTAAATAAAGGGTGACCTGGTGATGGGATACCACCCTAGGTGGAGTTATTTCACTTATCCATTTCTATTTCTACATATAATATAGGGAAACACTCATTGAAATGTGGCAGCTTTGACAAGAGTGACAAGGGGCAACTTGTCCACCAAGCTCTATCATACTTCGAGTCACATTAATGACAGGACCATAAGACTTAGAGCAGAAGTAAGCCATTCAGCCCGTTGAATCTGCTCTGCCATTCAGTAAGATCATGGCTGATCTGAGGCAGAGCACTGGTGGAGAAGGGATGAAAAGGAAGTCCAAATCTTGCAGCCCAGATCCCCCACTACCTCATGGGACATCCTGTCCTGTGTGCCCACAAATTCATGGGTCAAGAATTGGCCTGCTCGGTCACATGGCAGAAAGCCACAAAGCTGAGTTGACAGGACCCTCAAACTGTGGAACAGGTGACCACAAGAGAGTTTTATTAAAGAGACAGAAGGAACTGCCGATGCTGGAATCAGAGATAACAAGGTGTAGAGCTGGATGAACACAGCAGACCAAGCAGCATCAGAGGAGCAGGAAAGCTGACATTTCGGGTCTGGACCCTTCTTCAGAAAATTTTATTAAACTTCTGTTTTAGGAAGTGAGTTTAGAAGTCACAGACCTGAAAATTTGGAAACAATAGGATGAAAATTGCTTACACCTTTATAAATGTCGAGATAACTGTATGTAATGTTACTGAACATTCTGTGTAGGACTGCTTTTTAACTTTGCTGTACCTGGTGCTTAGGAGATTTCAGGGGCAGTTAGGAGTGGGCAATAAAATCTGAGTTAAAAAAGGCCAATTTTCAATTTTGAAGCCATGGGTTCAGAAAGCAGTGAACAGGAGGGTTGTAATTTCTAGATAAAGCTGCATTAGTAATGAAGAGCTGCAGAATGGGAATGAAACATGATCATCTTATTAAAAGTTGTGGGCATCCTCGGTGTGCAAAATAGCCACTGACACTTTGATTTTTCATCCACAGATTGCCCAGTATTACGGGATGCTGCGCACAGAAATGCTTCAGTTTTCTTCTCGCCGATCACCCATTGTGTGTACAAGGGGTTGTACTGCAAGCAGCCAACCGCTAGCTACAAATGCAGGACTTGGTGAGGTTTTTTTTCTCATGGTTATTGGTCTGGTAAATAGCCAGTGCTCGCTCAGCTGTAAGCAGTGATGTCGGCATGCATTCAAATCAGTTGATAACCACCGAGGAGAGGGGTCGAATTTCATCGCATCCCCCCCACTCCCTGTGCCAATGCTATTTTGCTGGAGGTTCATCAGGAACGGACCTGCCCAAACAAGATTTCTTCAGGGCTTGCAATGCAGCTGGAGCACCTGAATGAGGGAATTCCCGAACAAATTCACACTGGCTGTCGCTCATTCTTTCAGTAATTTGCATTAATGCTCAGAGCTGGAGTTCCTTAAGTATATTGTGAAGCTTACTGGAGTACACTAGGCAGCGTCATGAGCTGTAAGAATAAACACGGGTATTACAGGATCGCTCACATGAAACAGAAACACAGAAACATAGAAAATAGGTGCAGGAATAGGCCATTCGGCCCTTCAAACCTGCACCACCATTCTATAGGACCATGCAATCGCAGTATCCCATTCCCGACCTCTCCCCATACCCCTTAATCCCTTTAGCCATGTCCAGCTCCCTCTTGAATATATCTAACAAACGGACCCCAACAGCTTTCTGTGGGAGAGAATTCCACAGGTTCACAACTCTCTTGAGTGAAGAGATTCTTCCTCATCTCAGTCCTGAATGGCTTACCCCTTATTCTTAGACTGTGATCCCTAGTTCTGGAGTTACCCAACATCAGGAACATTCTTCCCACATCTAGCCTGTCCAGAAACCTCAGGATTTTGTATGTTTCTATGAGCTCCTCCCTCTCATTCTTCTAAATCCCAGTGAAGCAGGCCCAGTCAATCCAGTCTTTCCTCATACGTCAGTTCTGCCATCCCGGGAATCAGTCTGGTGAACCTTTGCTGGACTCCCTCAATAGCAAGAATGTCCTTCCTCGGATGAGGAGACCAAAACAACACACAATACTCAAGGTGTGGCCTCACCAAGGCCCTGTATAACTGCAGCAAGACATCCTCACTCCTTAAAATCCCTTAAACACCCCTATTGTATCTGCCTGGAACACCACCCCTGGCAGCACGTTCCAGACTCCTACTGCTCGGTGTGTTAATAAAAGATGTTTGCTGCTTGTGCACAAATTGAACTGTGAAAAATTTCTGCCACTATTGCACACCCACCTTCCCATCACCACCCAACCCCAACCCCCAAGTCTCCAGGATGGGCTGGATAAAAGTTAACGTTCCTGCAAATCTGCCTGCATAGGGCTACTCACTTGATCCTCGTCCGGGTGATGCTAAGAAGCCGCAGGATGACTTGGACAGAACAGCTGAGTGGGTAAATCTTCTCGCTATGAAGGGCAGCATGCCATTAGCTTTCCTCACTGCCCGCTGCATCTGCAGGCCAACCTTCATCAACTGTTCCACCTTGAGACCCAGGTTTCGCTGCACCTCAGCTTTTCCTAAACTGCCACCATTCAGATAATAATCTGCCTTCCTGTTTTTGTGACCAAAGTGGATAACCTCACATTTATCCACATGATATTGCATTTACCCAGTAGTTACCCACTCAGCTGTTCTGTCCAAGTCATCCTGCGGCTTCTTAGCATCACCCGGACGAGGATCAAGTGAGTAGCCCTATGCAGGCAGATTTGCAGGAACGTTAACTTTTATCCAGCCCATCCTGGAGACTTGGGGGTTGGGGTTGGGTGGTGATGGGAAGGTGGGTGTGCAATAGTGGCAGAAATTTTTCACAGTTCAATTTGTGCACAAGCAGCAAACATCTTTTATTAACACACCGAGCAGTAGGAGTCTGGAACGTGCTGCCAGGGGTGGTGTTCCAGGCAGATACAATAGGGGTGTTTAAGGGATTTTTAGATAAACACATGACTGTGCAAGGAATGGAGGGATTTGGACCAAGGGCAGGCAGAATAGATTAGTCTAATTTGGCGTCATGCTTGGCACAACAACATGGGCTGAAGGGCCCTTTCCTGTGCTGTACAGTTCTATGTTCTGTGTTAGTTGCAGCTTTGGAACTGTGAGAGTGGGTCTCCTTACTGTTAGTCATACAGGTCTACAGCATGGAAAAACGCCCATCAAGTCTGTGCTGATCACAAACAACAACCTTTTCCCATTTTCCAGATGTACACAGATTTTCAATCTGATTAGACAGTTGGAACCTGATCTGGTTTCCCTTTGTCAAACTCATTGGGTTCGTGAATGTCCATAAATTTAGTGAATTAGTCAGAAATCTCAGGGATATCTAACCAAAAGGTGTCATTCTCAAGAACAGCTGGGTAGAAGCAACGGAAGCTGTGCCTTGGCTACCTTCTTTTGATATTGTTTCCACCCACTCCTGTGCATCATTTGTATTTCTGGATGTGGATAAAACAATTGTCAAAAGAACAAGTTGGTAATGGTTTTCAAATCGCCTTTACTTAAAGCAGGCCATTATGCCAGAGATAAAGGATTAAGGCGCCATGTAGAATGTATCACAATAAGTGGAAAATATATTTCTTGTCCTTTACTGAGAAGCATAAGGTCACCTAAAAGCTTGAGCATAAAAATCTGTGCTGACCTGGAATGCAGTACTGAGGGCAGTATGAGATGTTGATCCAATGTTGTCTTCTTTCTCTGGTGGATGGAAAAGATACAATGGCAATACTTTATTTTAGAGCTAGTGGACTAAGGCCCAAAGCTCTCCTTAGAGAAGAGAAGACGGAAATTTTCAAACTCATGAGGGGTTTGGACAAAGTGGATGGAGCGAAACTGTTCCCAGTGGCAGGAGGTTTGAAAATCAGAGGATTTGCTTTAAGATGATTACCAACAACGCTGTGAGGAAAGTTAGATGGATAGCTGGTTTAATTCTTTTAATTCACTCATGAGATGTGGGCAATACTGGCCAGGGCAGCATTTATTGCCCATCGCTAATTGCCCAGAGGGCAGTCAAGTGTAAACTACATTGCTGTAGGTCTCGAGTCACACATAGGCCAGACCAGGTGAGAATGGCAGTTTTCTTCCCTAAAGTATCAGTGAGAGTGACCACCGCACAGTCCTTTCGGAGATGAAATCCAGCCCTGACTATCAACATCCTGGGGGGTTATTGTTGATTGGAAACTCAACTGGACTCACCACATAAACACAGTGGCTACAAGAGCAGGCCAGAAGCTGGGAATACTGCAGCAAGTAACTCACCTCCTGACTCCTCAAAGCCTGTCCATCATCTACAAGGCATTAGTCAGGAGTGTGATGGAATACTCCCCACTTGCCTGAATGAGTGCAGTCCCTACAACTCAAGAATCTTGATACCATCCAGGACAAAGCAGCCCACTTGATTGGCACAACATGTACAAGCATTCATTCCCTCCACCACCGATGCTCAGTAGCAGCAGTGTGTACTATCTTCATGATGCGCTGCAGAAATTTACCAAAGATTCTCAGACAGCACCTTCCAAACTCACGACCACTTCCATCTAGAAGGACAAGGGCATCAGACATATGGGAACACCACCACCTCCAAGTTCCCTTCCAAGCCACTCACCGTCATGACTTGGAAACATATCCCCGTTCCTTCAGTGTCGCTGGGTCAAAATCCTGGAATTCCCTCCCTAATGGCATTGTGGGTCTACCTACAGCAGGTGGACTGCAGCGGTTCAAGAAGGCAGCTCACCACCTTTTGGAGGGCAACTAGGAATGGGTAATAAATGGTGGCCAGTCAGTAACGCCCACACCCCATAAGTGAATAAAAAAAACATGATTGCTATTAGGCTATCTTTTAATTCCATTGAAATGATTGAGTTCATATTTCACCATCTGCCTTGGTGAGATTTGAACTCATGCTCCTACAGCATTAAGCTGGAGGTCTGAATTACTCATTCAGAGACACTACCACTGCCTCAATTTACACTCCCCTTTATTAATTGGAGCCTGGAGGCTTTCCTATTCTAGTTGCAGCAAGAAAATTCCCCGTCATAGAAACTGAAGATATTGAAGAAAACATAAGTTCAAAATAATAAGCAAATAATTGGCCGTGGAAGTATTAGATAATTTACAGAGTGCAGAAGATGAGTGTCATTTGCATGTGTCAGGCTGGCTAGCCTTTGTGTAAGATTTCACAGGTAATGCTGATTTTTACAGACATACTGAAAAAAGGCGGGAATGCTGCAGATGCTGCGGTTGCTATGGCAGCAGTCCTGAATCTTACTGAACCATTCAGTACTGGTGTTGGTGGAGACTGCAACTGCCTCTTTTACCATGGTCCAACTAAGAAAGTGTATGGACTGAATGGAAGGTAAGGGACAGTAGCTCAAGTTCATAGCCATCTGTGTTACACCCTTGCTCCCCAGCCCCCACCTGACAGGCATCCACTGCTTTTGTTCATTAACCATGTGTGGTTCACTACACCCTGCAATGTGATGGGTGCCAAGTGCCTTCTCCAGTCTGTACCTGGTTTCACAAATTGCCCCACTGAAAGCAAAGTACTGCAGATGCTGGAAATCTGAGACAAACACAGATAGCCGAGAGAAACTCGGCGGGTCTGGCGGCATCTGTGAAAAGAGAACCAGAGTTAATGTTTCAAATCAGCTCCGATTACTTGTCAGAACTGATGAAGACCTATATTGGACTTGTAATGTTATAGCTCTGTTTAGATGTTACTGGATCCAGAGTTTCTCCCACATTCTGCATGCTTGTTGGAGAATTCCTGTCCTTTGTCAAGGTACAAATATCATTCGCAATATGATGTCGAAGCCATTTTTCTTTGTGAGCCACTTGGTCACATACTATTCAATACGATGACCCATGCATACAAAAGCTTTGAAAATGTGCTACAGGATAGTGCAACAATTCAATTTTTTTAATAGTATTGTAGAATTTGGTATCTGGCGACGATCATTGTTCTCTCTTTTGCAGTGGCAGGTCACCCCGATTATTGACGCTTGACTTGTTAAAAGCGGAAGGCTTTGTGGAGACGAATCCTTTGCCGTTGTGTCATGCCAACCTTGTCACTGTGCCTGGAGCAGCTGCTGGCTGGTCTGATACAATTCATCTCTTTGGAAGTAAGAAGGTGAAGTATGGCTCTGAGTAATCTTCTAACAACTTTTCATTAGAATCCCTACAGTGTGGAAACAGGTCCTTCGGCCCAACAAGTCCACACTGACCCTTGGAGCACCCCACCCAGACCCATCCCCCTATAAGCTACCTAATCTACACATCCCTGAACACTATCCTCTCTATATTGTGTCTCCTTTTTTTTGTTAAAATTAACAAAGAGGGAAAAAGACCATCCCTTGTGCTTGATACCACTTTCAGTACAAGCCAGACCCCACTGAAGACAGCAGTGAAAGCATTGGCAGGATCAATGACCAATATGGGCCCCTAGATTTCCATCTTTGGTTATAAATCTCTTCATGGAGCTTTTACGTCGGCTGTGACTCAATTTTCTTTTAATATTCTCTCATGGGATGTGGGCATCTCTAGTAAGACCAGCATTTAGTGCCCATCCTCAGTGGCCTTGGAGAAGGTGGTAGTGACCCAGCACTGCAGGTGTGTCGGGTATGTCTCCAGAGGAGAGTTTTCTTCCTGATTCCCCTTGACTTCAGTTTTGCTAGGGCTTCTTGACACCGTGCTCATGAATTGCTGCAGTCTGAGTGTAAGGATATCCATAGTGCTGTTCAGAAAGGAGCTCATGGAATCCATAGTTCCAGGATATGACCCAGCAACAGTGATATAGTTTCAGGTAAGGATGGTGAGTGGCTTGGAGTGGAACTTGCAGATGATAGTGTTCCCATGTATCTGCTGCTGTTGCCCCTCTAGGTGGTAGAGGTTATAGGTTTATAAGGTGCTGTTGGAGGAGACTTGCTTAGTGTCTGCAGTGCACCTGGTAGATGGTACATAGTACTGCCATTGTCTGTTGGTGGGAGTGGAAGTTGAAAGTTGTGGATTGAGATTGCCGTTAAGTGTGCCTTTTTGTCCTACCTAGTATTAAGATTCTTGAGTATTGTTGGAGCTGCACTCATCAAAGCAAGTGGGGCATATTCCATCGCAGCCCTGAATTGTGCCTTGTAGATGGTGGACAGGCTTTGGGGAGTCAGGGAGTGAGCTACACGTTGTAGAATTCCTAGCCTCTGACCTGGTCTTTAGCTACAGCGTTTATATGGCTGCTGCAGTTCATTTTCAGGTCATTGGTAACTTCCAGGATTTTGATAGTGGGGCATTTAGTGATGATAATGCTATTGAGTATTAAGGGGTGATGGTTAAATTTCTCAAGTTGATAATAATAATTATCAGGGACTTGTGTGGTTGTGAATGTTATTTGCCACATATCAGGCCCAGCTTGGATGTCTTGCTGAATTTGGACTTTGACTGCTTTCAATATCTGAGGAGTTGCAAACTGTACTGAACGTTGTGCAATTATCAGTGAAAATTCCCACTTCTGACCTTCTGATGGAGGGTAGGTTATTGTTGAAGCAGCTGAAGATTTTGAGCTTAGAATTCTACTCCGAGGAACTCCTGCAGTGATCTCCTGGAGCTGAGGTGACTGACCTCCAGCAATCACAACCATCTTCTAGCTATGACTCCAACCAGTGGAGAGTTTTCTCCCTGATTTCCAATGACTCCCATTTTGTTGGGCTCCTTGACACCATGCACAGTCATTTGCTGCTTTGATATCAAGGGCTAGCATTGTAGCCTCTGGAACTCAGCTATTTTTGTCCATATTTGGGCACAGGCTGTAAGAGGTCAGTAGCCAAATGGCTACTGAACTCAAACAGAAAGTCAGTGGTCGTGTAATTCCTTTACAACTTTTATTTATTCATTCAGTGGATGTGGGCTTTGCTGGTTGGCCGGTGTAGAAGAGAAGAACATAAGAACATAAGAACATGAGAACTAGGAGCAGGAGTAGGCCGTCTGGCCTTTCGAGCCTGCTCCGCCATTCAATAAGATCATGGCTGATCCTTTCATGGACTCAGATCCACTTACCCGCGTTCTCACCGTATCACTTAATTCCTTTATTGTTCAAAAAAAATCTACCTTTTTTTTTTAAAACATTTACTGAAGTAGCGTCAACTACTTCACTGGGCAAGGAATTCCATAGATTAACAACCCTCTGGGTGAAGAAATTCCTTCTCAGTTCAGTCCTAAATCTGCTCCCTCTAATCTTGAGGCTATGCCCTCTTGTCCTAGCAGAAGGCTGAAGCATTTGCAACAATCTTCAGCAAGAAGTCCTGATTGGGTGATCAGTCCTCAGCATCACAGATACCAGTTTCTAGCCTATTTGATTCACTCCACATTATTTTAAGAAAAGTGACTGAGGGCACAGGGTGCTGCAAAGGGCATTGGCCCTGCTATTATTGCAGTTGTACTTGCTGAAGACTTGTGCTCCAGAACTAGCCATATCCTAAGCACCTGATGGCTCTGCTTGATAGACCCATTCAATCATTTTGCTGATGGTCAAGAGTAGACTGACGGGGAAGCACTTGGCTGAGTTGGATTTATCCTGCTTTTCGTTGCACAGGTCACACCTTTTTTTGTTGATTTGGTTTATTATTGTCACCTGTACTGAGATACAGTGAAAAATTTTGTTTTGCATGCGGTACAGGCAGATCCTACCATACAAAATTCATTAGGCTAATAGAACAGAGCTAGGAATACAATGTTGTGGCTGCAGAGAAGGTATGCAAAGAGTGAGATCAATATTAAATGTGAAATTTGAAAGGTCCATTCAGAAGTCTAATAACGATGAGGAATAAGCTGTTCTTGAATCTGTTGGTGCGTGCGTTTAAGCTTTTGTATCAGAGTGAATGGATGGAATATTGGCTTGCATGATGGGCATGAGCAATTTTACACATGGCCAGGTCAATGTCAATGTTTAAACTGATCTGGAACAGCTTTGGTTGGGCCAAACCAGTCCAGGATCAGAAGTCTTCTGTAATATTGCCAGAATATTGTCGAAGCCCATAGCCTTTGCAGTGTGTATTGGTTTCTGTTGTTCTTGATATTATGTGGAGTGAATTGAATTTATTGAAAATGAGTGATGTTGGGGTCCTCATGAGGAGGATACTTGCCTTTGTAGCTCCTGGGTTCAAGAGCCACATAGGGCTTGATGACAAATATCAATGCTGACACTCCTGTGGAGCACTGGCAGAAGGGCTGTCTTTTGGATGAGATGTCAAATTGAGGCATCATCTGCTTGTTCTGAGATGTTTTACCACATTAAAGCTGCTATATAACTACTAAGTTACTGGTGATTTTAAATTCTCCCATCCTTAGTTGCCCTTGAGAAGGTGGTGGTGAGCTGCCTTCTTGAACCTCTGCAGTCCATGTGCTATAAATTGACCCACAATGCCCTTAGGGAGGGAATTCCAAGGTTTGACCCAGTGACACTGAAGGAACAGCGATATATTTCCAAGTCAGGATGGTGAGTGGCTTGGAGAGGAACTTCCTGGTTGTGGTGCTCCCATGTATCTACTGCCCCTGTCCTTCTCGATGGAAGTGGTCTGTGTTTGGAAGGTGCTGTGTAAGGATACAGGGTATTTAAAGTTTCTTATGGGAGGAAAGCCACAATTGTGCACTTGCACTGAAGTATTTGTACAGTAATATCACCTTTTATTAGGGTGTAAAATAAACGGGCCCATCTTCTAGTCAACAAAAGTTGCAAAGGGGTTTTGAATCGTAGAATCCCTGTAGTGCAGAAACAGGCCATTTGGCCCATCGAGTCCATGCCGACAAGTATCGCACCAAGACCAACTCCCCTATCCCAGTATTTCCCAGAGCTGATCTACCTAACCTACACATCCCTGGACACTGTGAGCAATTTAGTATGGCCAGTTGACCTAACCTGCACATCTTTAGACTGTGGGAGGAAACCAGAGCACCCGGTAGAAGCCCACGCAGACACAGGAACATGCGCAACCTCTATACAGACAGTTGCCTGAGGGTAGCATTAAACCTGTGTCCCTGGCACTGAAAGGCAGCTGTGTGTGTGTGTGTGTGTGTGTGTGTGTGTATGTCAGAGAGAGAGAAATGTTTGTATGATTTGCAGCAATTTCAGTCTCTTGAATCCCAATGGAAGGCAGTAACAAGTAATAATAAGTGAGTTGTAATACCAACTTTCCACCTAACTCTCCTGCTTACTGGGTGAAGTTACAATGATCACAGTTTTTAACTTATTATTGTTACTGTCTTCATAATCGGAATGATCATATCAATGACATCTAAAGCAGTTGAATAACAATTCCTCTGTTCAATATTCAGTATGGCTAATGATTGAAGAAAGGAGGAAGAAATGGTTTTTATCTCTTACTCAGTCTTTTTTTGGTGTTCAGATGGAGCTGCAATTCTCTTAGCGTGACTAGTCCCTGATGCATTTGTTTGTGTAACTCTACAACATAACCAAATGGAGTATGGTTACTGTAATGGAGAAAGTTGCATTTCTAACAGTATTATTCTGCACTCCAGCTGTCTTTGGGTGAAATTCTACAGCCTGCGATTGAGTTGGCAGAAAGAGGCTTCCCTGTCGCTGAAATCACTGCATTTCACTGGAATAGAGGAGAGAACAACCTGCAGAGGCCAGGGAATCTACATGGGAAGGATCTGCTGCTGCAGGGTCAGAGTCCTAAATCTGGCCAGATTTTCAAGAATCCTCTCTTAGCTCAGACCTTCAAGGTGAGTGATTCACTTCTTCCTATCCTCTTGGCTTCCTACCAAGCTCGTGTTCTGAATAAGCTACCCTGGAGTTATTTATTATGGGAAGAATTAGACATGCACTGCATCAGACAGCTTTTAATCAACTGACTGTGGGATGGGTGGGGTCTGGAACCTGGGACTCTTCACCCAGAGGTGGGGTAACTAACTTAAACCAATTTGAAAGTCGACAGCCTATTAAAGGGGCTCAGAAACAGAATGAAAGATTCAAAACAAATTTAGAGTTAAATTAACACGTCATTTTGAGCAGCGACATACACTTCAGCCACAGCAGTGCCCATCATACATGGTCCAAAGTGTCCCAATGGAAATGGTGTGCTCCGTCTCCAAGGATACCCAGGTGAAGTGTCTCTTTGTGGTCAAGTGAAATCCCAGCTAATGCCCACCATCTTGATACAATTAATTAGCCTTGGTACACGGTCAACAGGTGTGTTTCTTGCTAGTGTCCCTACCTTTGAGCCAGGAGGCCTGTGTTCAACTCCCACCTGCTCCAGACATGGATCAAAACATCTGAACAGCTTGATCAGAAATACCCACAATTAATAGGGTGTCACACGTATACCTCCTGAATCAAAACGTTTTGTTGGATATTTTGGTTTTAATCTCTCTAAAGACATCTTTACAAAACACTTGGTGAGTTGGGGCCCAATATAAATTACTGAGTTGCTCCCTGCCATAGGTGGAGTAACGGTGACAGAATTTATGTATTCATAGAATCCCTACAGTGTGGAAGCAGGCTATTTGGCCCATCAAGTCCACAATGACCCTCTGAAGACCCCCCCGCCCAACCAGCCCTGAATTTTTCCTGGCTATATCCCTAGACACTATGGGCGATTTAGCATGGCCAACCCACCTAACATCTTTGGCCTGTGGGAGGAAACCCACGCAGACACAGGGAGAACATGCAAACTCCACACAGATAGTCAGCTGAGGGTGGAATTGAACCCAGGTCCCTGGTGCTGTGATGCAGCAGTGCTGACCACTAAGCCAGGGTCATTTCTAATACATAAAGCAACTAACCAACACGCTGTATTTATAAACTCTGAAAGATACCTTGGAATCTGTGCAACATAGACTTGGATCTAGATCAGTTGGTATTAAAGTTAATTACTGCTGAGTTGCAGTCGAGATTGTTAATGCTCCTAGTGCTGAGAGTTGAGTGTTATAATGCAGTCCGATGTCCACTATCAGCAGCCTCCACCAGAAAATCCACCAGGATTTTCCTGGAACGGAGTCTGAGGTAAGACCCGGCACTTTTCCCTGCAACCGTAGGAAGTGCTACACCTGCCCCTACACCTCCCCCCTCACCCCCATCCCAGGCCCCAAGAAGACTTTCCACATCAAGTAGATGTTCACCTGCACATCTGCTAATGTGGTATACTGCACCTGCTGTTCCCGTTGTGGCCTCCTCTACATCGGGGAAACCAAGCGGAGGCTTGGGGACCGCTTTGCAGAACACCTACGCTCGGTTCGCACTAAACAACTGCACCTCCCAGTCGCGAACCATTTCAACTCCCCTCCCATTCCGCAGACGACATGTCCATCCTGGGCCTCCTGCAGTGCCACAACGATGCTACCCGAATGTTGCAGGAACAGCAACTCATATTCCGCTTGGGAACCCTGCAGCCCAATGGTATCAATGTGGACTTCACAAGTTTCAAAATCTCCCCTCCCCCTACCGCATCCCAAAACCAGCCCAGCTCGTCCCGGCCTCCCTCACCTGTCCTTCCTCCCACCTATCCCCTCCTCCCACCTCAAGCCGCACCCCCATCTCCTACCTACTAACCTCATCCCGCCCCCTTGACCTGTCCGTCCTCCCTGGACTGACTTATCTCCTCCCTACCTCCCCACCTACACTCACCTTTCCTGGCTCCATCCCCGCCTCTTTGACCGGTCTGTCTCCTCTCCACCTATCTTCACCTCTATCCATCTTCTATCCGCCTGCCCCTCTCTCTCTATTTATTTCAGAACCCCCTTCCCCTCCCCCATTTCTGAAGAAGGGTCCAGGCCCGAAACGTCAGCTTTCCTGCTCCTCTGATGCTGCTTGGCCTGCTGTGTTCATCCAGCTCTACACCTTGTTATCACCAATATCCTGTACAGCCGCAACATGTCCTCCCAACTCCTATACTCAATGCACTGACCAAGTGCTTTCTTCACTATCCTATCTGCCTGTGACTCCACTTTCAAAGAACTATGAACCTGCACTCCAAGGTCTCTTTCTTCATCAACACTCCCCAGGACTTTACCATTAAGTGTATAAGTCCTGCCCTGATTTGCTCATTAAGTGTATAATTCCTGCCCTGATTTGCCTTTCCAAAATGCAGCACCTCACATTTATCGAAATTAAACTCCATTTGCCACTCCTTGGCCCGTCTTTCAAGATCCCATTGTACTATAAGACCAGAAGACATAGGAGTAGAAATTTGGCCATTTGGCCCATAGAGTCTGCTCCGCTATTCAATCATGGCTGATAAGTTCCTCAACCCCATTCTCCTGCTTTCTTCCCATAACCCTTGATCTCCTTGATAATCAAGAACCTATCTATCTCAGTCTTAAATGTACTCAATGACCTGGCCTCCACAGCCTTCTGTGGCAGTGAATTCCATAGATTCACCACTCTCTGGCTGAAGAAGTTTCTCCTTATCTCTGTTCTAAAAGGTCTTTCCTTTACTCGAAGGCTGTGCTCTCGGGTCCTAGACTCTCCTACCAATGGAAACATCTTCCCAACATGCACTCTGCCCAGGCCATTCAGTATTCTGTAAGTTTCGATTAGATCCCCCTCATCCTTCTAAACTCCAACGAGTATAGTCCCAGAGTACTCTGAGGTAACCTTCTTCGCTGTCCACTACACCTCCAATTTTGGTGCCATCTGCAAACTTACGAACCATACCTCCTATGCTCACATCCAAATCATTCATATAACTGACGAAAAGCAGTAGACCCAGCAGAGATCCTTGTGACACACCACTGGTCACAGGCCTCCAGTCTGAAAAAACAACCCTCCACCACCACCCTCTGTCTTCTACCTTCGAGCCAGTTCTGTGTCCAAATGGCTGTTCTTCCTGTATTCCATGTGATCTAACCTTGCTAACCAGTCTACCATGAGGAACCTTGTCAAAGTACTGAAGTCTGTATAGATCACGTCCACCACTCTGCCTTCATCAGTCCTCTTCATTACTTCTTCAAAAAACTCAATCAAGTTATTGATTCATTCATCTTAATCTTAGTTAGTTTTTCATCAGAGTGGAATCTCACTAGCCTAGACAACATTCTGGTGAATCTCCTCTACACCCTTTCCAGTGCTCTCAAATCCTTCTATAGTATGGTGACTAGGACTGCACACAGTACTCCACATGTGACATGACTAATGTTATATACAGCTCCATCATAACCTCCTTGCTATTGTATTCAATGCTTTAACTAATAAAGGCAAGTATCCCACTAGAATGGAGAACAGTACAGCATAGGGACAGGCCCTTCGGCCCACTATGTCTGTACCAACCATAATGCCTTTCTAAACTAATCCCATCTGCCTGCACATGATCCATGTCCCTCTATTCCATTCCTATGTATATGGCTGTCTAAATGCCACATAAACATTGCTATCGTTTTTGTTTCTACCACCTCATTTGGCAGCGCATTCTAGGCACCTAACACCCTCTGTGTAAAATCTTTCCTCGCACATCTCCTTTAAACTTTCCCCCTCCCACCTTAAATCTCTGCCCCCAAGCATTTGAAAATTAATTCTTGCCTCTCCATTAATTCTCTCCCTCGGAAGTTTTTCCAATAGTTCCTCTTCTGAAGAAGTCAGACCCACTGACGGATTCCTGGTTTATCCCTTCCACCCTTCTTGAATAAAGGTACCACATTGGCCATTCTCCTGTGACTCCCCTCCAGTGGCCAGAGATGATTTGAAAATTAATTTCAGAGCCCCCACAATCCCCTCCCTTGCCTCCCACAGCTGCCTGGGATACAACTCATTCAGAGGTGTGTTCAGGATTCAGTGTGAGGACTCCATAAGCAATTATTGGAGTTCTTATCAGAGTTAATTTACACTTACAATAAAATGTCATTTGGATCATTGCTGCTGATGACATGCAGTGCAATTTTCAATTTCTCTGAATCATTGAAGAATAAACACGCTATTAGATAATTGTTATCTAAATAGTTTCAAAGGATTGATTCATTGTTACCTTTAGCATTGTGTCACCTCATGATACAGTTTCTTACGTGTCTGTCCAACACTGCCCTGAACAAACTTCAACTCATCCTTTTTCTCACTTGTCCTCATTGACCAATATATCGATTCTGAAATTCTCACCCTTTAACTTCAAATCCTTTCATGGTTCCTAGTCTTCCTTCCTCAGAAATCTCATCTAGTCATACACTCCAGCCTGTACCATTTTGTGATTCTGGCAGACTCTCTGTCTCTCTCTCACACACATTTTCTGTCTCACCTTTGATGTCAGACGATTCAGTCGTTACAAACCTGCGTTCTAGAACTTTCTGCTGAAACCGCCTGTTACCTTTCTCCCCCTCATCAAAAAACTTCCCCAGAAATTACCAACCTGACCAAACTTTCTGTCATTCCTCTTTTCAAGCCATTTTCCCTATCTACCAGCCTCCTTAAATAATTCTGATTTATCCTGTCTGGACTAAATTGAAGAACAGAAAGAACTTCTATTCATATACAGCACCTTTCTCAACCTTAAGAGGCCCTAAAACTTTTGGCAGGATGTTTGACAGACAATATATTTTTGATTAAAAAAAAAATTAAAAAATAATAATAAGTTCTGAGGAAGGTTCACCAGACCCGAAACATTAACTCTGATTTTCTCTTCACAGATGCTGCCAGACCTGCTGAGCTTTTCCAGCAACTTCTGTTTTTGTTCCTGATGTATTTTTGATGCTAGTTGCTCTTGTATTATGGGAAATGTCCATTTTACACACGGCAAGCTCCC